TCTCCTGCCTCCCAAGTGTTTTCTTGCAGCACCTTCATCCATTCGTTGTCCTAGCCAGAAACACAGGAATCATCCTTTCCCTCATGGCCTACATTTGCAGTTAATCACCAAGTCCTATTTCCTGTCTTTCTTCAGTCTCTTCACTTCTCTCTTTTCCCTGTTGCCACCACCTCTCAGTTGAGTTGTGGAACCTTCTGCCTAGGTTTTCTTCTTCTTTTTTTTTTTTTCTTTTAATAATATCTTGTATTTTTTTAAAAATTAATTTGTGTGTGTGTGTGTGTGTGTGTGTGTGTGTGGCCAGCTCAGCCCGCCAGGGGCCGGGGCTGGCTGGCATGTGGTGCTGGGGGATTGAACCATGGCCCCTGTGCTTTGCTAAGCTTGTTCTAAGTAGGTGCTTTAGACCACTGAGCCATCTCACCAGCCCCCTGCCTAGGTTTTCTGATCCGTCTCACTGCTCTAGTCAGTGGTCCACGCTGCCCCTGAGTTATGGTCCTGAAACAAAGCATAGGGCCATTCCCTCTCTTCAAATTCTTCTGTCCCAGCTATGCCTTTCAGATGGGTGAGGGAGAGCATAGTTTCTGGCTACAGCCAGATATGATGAACAAAGATGTTTCAAAAAGCAACCACTAGTCTGTCTCTACCGGAAAGATTACAGAGGACTGAGGCTGGGAAGCTCCTGTATATGTGCCATCTACACAAGCGTGTGAGTACAGATGGAGAGAGTGAGGCTCCAGGGGAGCCGGGGACAATTCTTGGTCAGTCTGTATGTTTTGTGTGATGAAACCATGTATTGGCCTGGAAACCCCCAGCTCAGGGCTCCTTCTGCCTGTCTCTTCCATCCTTGAGCTTCAGAAGTTGACTTCCCTTTTGCTGCCCTGAGAGTGGTCACCTGTGTGAGGAACAAGGCCGAGGCAGCTGGAGGGCCGGCTAGTGCTGGCCTCCTAGCCCTAACTCTGCTGCTGTCACTGCGGGACCCTGAGCAAGTCTGTTGGCCCTGAGTCCTATTTCCTCACCTGGAGGATGGGGATAGTCAGGTGCCTAGAACATAAGACATTCTCTGTCAGACCAAGTACATCCCAGAAAAGGAATTGAGCTTTTAGGAGTAAAGAACTTCCCAGCCTGTGGATTAAGGTAAAGTTTGTTGGGTTTTTCTGTTTGTTTGTTTGTTTGTTTTCCTGTACTGGTACTGAACAACGGGTAATCTACCATGGAACTATATCCCCAACCTTTTAAAATTTTTTTTCACTTTATTTATTTATTTACTTAGTGTCTCACAAGTTGCCTAGGCTGGCTTGGGATTTTCAATCCTTCAGCTTCAGCCTCCTGAGTAGCTGGGATTACAGGTGTGCACCACTGCTCCTAGCAAAATTGAGGGGCTTTGAAAGCAGCACCTGGAAAGGGGATACTAAGGTTGGGAGCCTTCTTTGGAAAGCTGCTGGGGAGCCTGACTAGTTGAGGATGGACAGATGCCCTTGGAGCTATGGAAGCATCCCCAGTGGGTACAGATGGGGTGCTTTGGTTCTGTGACATGGTGTTTTGATTCATTTAATGTAGATTCTTGCTATTTGTTTTCTCAGTCTTTCAACAGTGCCATGAAACCAGTGTATCTAGTATGCAAGCAAGACAGAAGGATATCGCTAAGGGATAAGGCCGTTATTTTGGAGCAAGGATGGCTCCAGAAAGCCTCTCCAAGGGCAGTGATGTTTGAGCAGAGACCTGGATCAAGGGAGTAAGGGAGCAACTGGCAGAATAAACAGCGAAACAAGAGCAAAGCCTGGAGATAGAAATAGTTTGAGTGTGTTCCAAAAATGACGAGGAAGCCAGAAGGTGGAAGTGTAGTAAGTGAGGGGGAGGGTGGGAAGGATCAAATTCAAGAGGTGGGCTGGGGGCCAGGCTTGCAGGCCTTGCTGGACATGAAGGATTTGACCTTCACTCGCCAAGTGTGATGGGAAGTCAGAGGAGAGTTTCAAGGAGACTGACAATGTTCAGCTCTGTGTCTTAGGAAGTTCATTCTGGCTACTTTGAAGAAAGTAGTTCTGTAAACATGAGATTGGAAGCAGGGAACTCACTTGGGCCAGATGGTGAAGGCTTGGTCAGGATGGTGAGAACTGTCCAGGCATATGTTTGGAAGGTAAAGCTGACAGATTTTTTTCTTTCTCCTTTTTTTTTTTTTTTTTTTTTTTTTTAATGTATTTGGTACAGGGTCTCACTACGCAGCTCAGTCTCATAGTGGTCTGTGATTCTTCTGTTTTCAGCCTCCCCACAGCTGGGATTACAGGCATGTGCCACCACACCTGGACTCAGTGGCTGGCTAAGCACACCCAGGGCAGGGCCAGCGCGGCATGTGGTACGGGGGATCAAACCCTGGTCCCTGTGCTCGCCTAAGCAGGGCTTAGTCCACTGAGCTATCTTGCTGGCCCTTGACAGATTTTTCTGTTTTTTCTTTTTCCTTTTTTTCCCCCCTTGACAGATTTTTCTATGGAGCAGGATTTAGAGGGTCATGGAGAGGAAGAGTCTAGGATAACTTAGCCTGATCCTCTGGACACCATGGCTGATGGGGAGGAGAGGAGGAAGATCTGAGGGCACATCTAGTGTTTGTATTTGAACATATTTCATTTGAGAGTATAGACACCTAGGAAGCTTCGTGAAGTAGGAAGGTGATAGGTGAACTGGGCTGTCTGAGAGCAGCTACTACACATTCATACTTCTAAGGACAAAGGCTCTTGTAGTAAGGGGTGGAGGCAGGGTTAAGAGTAATTTTTTCCTGTTTACATTTTTAAGGAACTATATTTACAGTGCGTGTTAGTTATTATCCAAGAAGCCTGCATTCATTCTAAAAAAAAGGTTAGGAAATATAAATAAGAAAAAAGGAGATTTATGTAATTTTTCAACTCTTGATATCTAGATTTAAACACTGAGATGACATTGTTGTTGAAGCTTTATGATCTGCTTTTTTTCACTTAGCCTGTTGTGAAGCAGACAGTTTATAGATCGGTAGCTATTGCTACGGCAAAAAAAAAAAAAAAAATAAGGAAAAAGAAAATTTAAAATGCCCAGTAGGAAGCCCCCTTGCTGTCCACTGCCACCTGAGGCCTGAGGACCACAGAGAAGGGGCTGAAGGGTTCCTGCCAAGGGTCAGATGAAGGCCCAAGGAAGCTTCTTTCCTGGAGGAGGGCACTGGCTGAGATGGCCTCAGGAGGAGCCTTTCCTGCTGCAGACCCAGAATTGTCCCTAGCTTCCAACCCAGGTGGCCTGGTGGCTGCCATAGTTATAGCTTCCATGCCACGTACTGTGGCTTTGCTGATTCCATGCTTGGCGAGTACTGTCGAAGGAGGTCTCCTCACTTGTTCATCCACAGCCCTTTGCCCATGTCTACCACTTGCATCCTCAACCTGGGTACAGCACCAGGTCTTGTCCTCTCAGAAGCTGTGAGCGGGCCAGGGCAGAGCCATGCTCCAGGAGTCCTGTCTTACAAATAAAGAGTCTGGTTCAGAGAAAGCAGGTGACTTTCCTAGGGCCACACACACACACCACCTCATCTGCAAGCTAGGTCTTTTTGACCTCAAACCCATGTTCTTGCCACATGAAACCCGAACACAAATAAGGCCATGGAAAAACTGACTCGGGCCACATACAGATGGCCAACCCTGGGAGGGGTTGGGGACACAGAGGTTCTGCAGAACTGGTGATGTCTGAGCAGGGGTGAAGGGTGCACATGGCTCATGTAGTGAGCTGCTTAGTGGCACAGAGACAGGGAGGCTGGTAAAGGCCAGTGGATCAGTCCACAAGCAATTTCCAGAGCTGCCCGTTCCCTGCAGTTCTCTTCAGTGCTCCTGCCCATTTAGCTCACCTCATGCCGGAGGAGCACGCCCTGGAGTCTGGCCTCCCGCCCCTGCGCAGCCCAGGCTCTCTCATCCCTGCTCCCTCACACCTGTACCTGCTCACGGCCCTCCCTGTCTCCCTTCCCCTGGGGCTTGGGAACACTTGCATGAGTCTCACCTCCATCCTAGAGATATTCCAGTGACCTTGGGTGAAACCTTTCTTTCATTTGACATCAGTTTTTTCTGGTGTGCCACTGAGAATGGGGTGTCAAATGAGCTAAGCTCTAGAGTTCCTCCCATTTCAAAATGACCTTTTGGGCTGGCAAGATAGCTCAGTGGTCTAAAACCCCTGCTTAGGCAAGCTTAGGTAGGCTCAGAGGACCACAGTTCGATTCCCAGCACCACATAAGGTGCCAGCCCCATCCTCAGGGTGGGCTGAGCCAGAAAAAAAAAAAAAAAAAAAAAAAAAAAAAAAGACCTTTTTAGGGCTGCACAGTAGCTTCCCACTGCTCAAGGGAGTTCTGTTCGCAAGCACCCAACCCCTCATTGCCTGGTTCTCCTTGCTTTGTACCCTGCTCCCTAGATCACTTTTCCTTTGGTCGCTGTCTTGTTATTGAATCCCAGCGAGCCCCTGAAGGCACAGGCAGTTATCCCCCTTCTGCTGATGTGACCATGCTCCTTCCACCTTGGAGTGCACAGGATGATGGTCCTGCCCTCAGCCACTGACTCTCAAGACAGCTTTAAAACCAAACCAGAGAGCCAGGGATGTACCCGGCAGGCACAGCACCTGCTTGGTAATTGCAAGGTCCTGAGTATGATTCTCAGTACCAAAAAACAAAAGACAAACTAGAGACAAAAACCACTCACAGGAGGCTGAGCCCTGAGGAACAGTGAACCCGTTAGTCCTACTGGCAGCCAGACAAACTGCCACTCACAGTTTAGCAACCACCTTTCTTGGCTGCAGCTGTACCGAGGTGTCACTGAAAAGGCTGTGGAGTAACTGAGAACTGAGCAGCCAGGAGCTGGGGGGCTGCTGCCTGTGGTGTCCAGCACTGAGCCATAGCTCTGTGGAACTCAGGTTCAAATTCTGCTTTGCATCCCTGGACTCCATAGCTCCCTGCCAGGGGCTCCTCTGCTATCCTGGGTCATCTAACCCTCTCCTTCGTGCTACAATTGCAGATTTTTGCTGGTCTTCAGCTGCCTGGTGCTGTCTGTGCTGTCCACTATCCAGGAACACCAGGAATTTGCCAATGAGTGTCTCCTCATCTTGGTGAGTGCTGGGAGGCCCAGTCGCAGGCACTTTTGTGAGCTGGCACCTTTGGGCTGAGGGTGGGTTTTTGTTTGTTTGTTTTCAGAACTAGGATTGAACTCAGGCCCTTGTGCTTGCCAGGCAAGCGCTTATTCTACTGAGCTATCTCCCCAGCCCTTGAGGGTGGGTTTGAGTGAAGCTTCGTAGGCTTTGGATCAGAAGCAGATCACTGGTGGGAGTGGGGTGGCACATGCCTGTAATCCCAACACTCTGGGAAGCTGAGGCAGAATTTCACATTTCAAATTCAGGTCCAGACTGAGCAATGTAGTGACTTACTGAGATGTTGACTCAACATAAAAAATAATCAGTGACGAGGTCCTGTGTTCTAATCCCAACACTGTCAAAAAAGAGTGGGGAGATTGTTGTACTGTGGTGTTCCTGAACTGGTGGCTGTCTCTGTCTACCTCATCTTGCACTTCATAGCTGGTATAAGGTAGACTTTCTGTGAGGTCTTGATGGATCCAGAAGAGAGGGTAGGTAGGTTCAAAGTGCTAACTCCTACACAAAACAGCAGCCCCTGCAGATAGACTGCTGATAGACAGCCACCCTTTCTGGTCACTCGGGCTCCAGAATCTGGGATGGCTGGGAGGTGGAGAGGCTGATGAGCAGAAAAGTCCAGGCAACTTATGGGGCAGGAAGTGGAGAGCAGACTGGTTTTGTTTTGTTTTCTTTTTGAGACACGGTCTTACTCAGGAATTTAGGCTGGCCTGGACCTCACTATGTAGACCAAGCTGGCTCAAACTTGTGGCTATCCTCCTGCCTCAGCCTCCCCATCCTGAGATCACAGGCCTGTGCCATCACTTTTAGTCTCTCCTTTAGTCTCCTTCGAGGATGTAAAAAGGGTCACCTCCCTCTTAAGTTCTTACAGGTGTAAGAACTTTCAGGAGAGGGATCTACAAAGGTGCCAACATGCCTAACTAGGGACTCTGGCAGTACTGTGTTCCACCTGAGGCCTGGTCCCAGACGGTTGGGATCAGAACTCCGGTCCTTGGTCTCACAGGAATTTGTGATGATCGTGGTCTTTGGCCTGGAATACATCATCCGTGTCTGGTCTGCTGGCTGCTGCTGCCGCTATCGAGGATGGCAGGGCCGCCTCCGCTTCGCCAGAAAACCCTTCTGTGTCATCGGTATAAGGCTGACTCCTGACCCCATCCCCAGGTTGACCTCATCCCAGACCCCAAACTGACTCTGGCTAGTGATACAGACTGAGAGACCCTCCCAAACCCTTGTCCCCCTCACCCCACGGCCCCAGGCACCTGGACCCTGGGTTCTGGGGTGGAGTGGGCTGGTGACCTAGCCACCTTTGTCCTGCAGACTTCATCGTGTTCGTGGCCTCGGTGGCTGTCATTGCCGCGGGCACACAGGGCAACATTTTTGCTACATCAGCGTTGCGCAGCATGCGCTTCCTGCAGATCCTGCGCATGGTGCGCATGGACCGCCGTGGTGGCACCTGGAAACTGCTGGGCTCAGTAGTCTACGCGCACAGCAAGGTGGGGGTCGGCAGGGAAGCAGGGGGCGGGGCTTGCGGGGCTGAGCGGACTGGGGGGTGGCAGGACTGGGGTAGAACCCAGGACAGAGGTGGGGCCCCGCGCTGGATCCTGGTGGGAGGCCGGCGGGCTTGGAGTATTACCCCAGATCTTTCGTGTGTGGGGACACATCGCGCATGGCCAGGTGGGGAGCTTCGGTGTGGTATGGATCAGTACCAGATGTAGGGCCCCTGCTGAATCCTGAAAGTGGGGCCCATGGGAAGTAAAGTAGGCCTGGTGGTGGAGGAGACCTAGTTCACTAGGTCAAGGGCAGGTCCTGGGGCCTGGTGATTCCAGAAAAGGCGAGCAGGGTCACTGCTGGGTACTGAGGAGGGGAGTATGTTGATCTTTGAGAACACTGCCTTGGAGGCGCTGCTCCTCACACCCCTTCACCTTCCTCTCCCCACCTCCAGGAGCTGATCACCGCTTGGTACATCGGGTTCCTGGTGCTCATCTTTGCCTCCTTCCTTGTCTACCTGGCAGAGAAAGATGCCAACTCTGACTTCTCCTCCTATGCCGACTCACTGTGGTGGGGGACGGTATGTGGAAGGTCTATACAGGGCTGCCTTTCTTAACCGGACTCTCCTGGGAGAGCCAGCCTGTCCCTGTCCTCTTGCACTAGGGTCAGGACTCCCTGTGACCAGCCCCTTTCTGGTCTTCCAACTTGCTCTGGTGGGCCAGCTTGTGCCCCCTTTTAGCCCCTCTCTCAAGCCCTTTCTCCTGACCAGCACTGAGGAGAATCAGTTATAGCCCTACAGCCTTCATGACAAGGCCTTGTGACCAACCCCTGTGGGCAACCACTATTGCTGAGACAGTTTTCCAAGTGACCAGTCTTCCACCTGCCTGTGCCCCCAAGTTCTAGTTGGTAGCCCCTGTGGCCAGTCCTATGGGTAACCCATTTGTATCCCCAGATTACACTGACGACCATTGGCTATGGGGACAAGACACCACACACGTGGCTGGGCAGGGTCTTGGCTGCCGGCTTCGCCTTACTGGGCATCTCCTTTTTTGCCCTGCCTGCTGTAAGTTCCCCTCTGCTGGTTGGTGGGGGAGGAGGCCAGGGACAAGACTTGCTCAGTTCCCATTGCATATTTTCCTGCATAGCCTGGGGCACCTCAGATGTGCAGGAACGGGGACATCCTTGCAACCTGCTCTGGCCCCCACTTCCTAAATTGCCCCAATCATGCCCTGTCCCCCTAGGGCATTCTTGGCTCTGGCTTTGCCCTGAAGGTCCAGGAGCAGCACCGGCAGAAGCACTTTGAGAAGCGGAGGATGCCAGCAGCCAACCTCATCCAGGTACACAATGCCCTGGAGGCCCTTAGCACAGGGTGATGTAACAGACCTGGTATACTGACCCCTGTGTCGCAGCTCTGCATGTTCACCCCTGTGTGCCAGCCTCACAACTGCTGTGTACTTTGAAGTTTAGACAGGGATGTGACTTTTCTGGGTTCACGTGCCAAATCACAGAGCTGAGTTGCTGACTGAGATTCCAGAATCTTTTCCCTTTATCACATGTCCAGTTGGGGGCTCACCAGAGCCATCTCCTTGACAACCAGCCCCAGGAACATGGCCTAGGATGAGGTAGAGACTGGACAGGAGGCCTCAGGCCTTGGTGGAGATCCAGCTCTGAGGCCCCTCAGCTGTGCAGCCATCAGTCAGTCTGCTCCATTCAGGCATCTTCATTGAGTCATTAATTCCTCAAGCATCACACAAATAAAGAGAAGATGGTTTAAGACTGGGTGTTTAGGGACACTAACATTTACTGGCCATGTGAGGAAGGAACCAGCCAAGCAGCCAGAGGAGTGGGTGAAATGCCAAGAGCTTGTAGTCTCAGTTTCCCTCAGTGTGATGAGTGATCTGAGTGGCTGTGGGAGGAGGCCAGGGCTCTGATTTTCTGTGACCCTGTGAATAGGTCTTGGCTTCTGTCCAGCCCAAGATATGTACAGGAGACTCTCTGCAGGAAACAGGATGAGAAATACTAGCACCACCACTTCTGCCTGATCCCCATGCACTACATTCTGACCCACCAGCTCAGTCTGACTCGGTCACTCCTTATCTCTCCTCCCCAGGGTGGAAGGACCCCCCTACCCCCATCCTGCTGTCCCAGCTGCCAGCCCAGACTTTTCTTCTTAGTGTTCCTTGGGGCACAATAGCCACTGTCCCACTGGGAGCTGGCCTTCTGAGGGGCACTGTAGGGGCAGGCGGCTGGCACCATCCATGCCAAGAGACAGCTGGTATTATGGTACCCATAATTAATGAGACAGCTCTGGCAGCTGCTCCCCAGCCCATGCCAGGGACCTAGTCAAGCAGGAAGTAAAAATACTTCTGTCTTAGGAAGGCGCCTGGCCGGTGGTGGCAGCCCCTTAAGGACAAGAGGTACCCAAAGAAGGGGGGCATCCAGGGCCCAGTTCTCCTTTGTCCTGCCTAGCAACCTTTGTGTCTCCATGCCCTGGCTGATCACGCCACTTGCAGTCCCTCTCTGGCTCTTTTCCTTAGCTGGGGGCAGGAGGACAGTCCTTCCTTCGTCTGACCTTCATTCTTCCTGATGCAGTGAAGGCCTTGGAAGTCCATGGATACTGAGGAGGTGGTGGGGGATGCTCAGTCCTTAGCATTCCCATGGAAAGTGACAGGCAGCTGGGAACAGTGGGCTGGAGTGCCTTTTTTTTTTTAATGGTCCAGGGCCTGCACACTGGACTCTATCCCCAGCTCCTTTTAAATTTTCTTATTTTGGGACAGGGTCTCTCTCACTAAGTCTCAAGTTACCCAGAGTAAGCTCCAATTTGAAGTCATCCTGCCTCAGCCTCCCAGAGTACTGGGGTTACAGGCATATGCCACCACTACAGGCTGGAGAATGATTCTGCCAGCATGCACTTCCCAAACATCTGTAGGACACCTACATGTCCAGAGACTACCTGGCACTGAAGATACAGTGGTGACCAAGACACAGCCTGTAGTCCAGGGGAAGAAGACCTTACCCGACCATAATGATGTTTATCAGATGTGATAAGAGAGCCACCAGAAGGGCTTGGCAAGGGAGCATCGCATTAAGTGCCCACTGTGTATCAGGCATCCAGCCTGACATTGGATAGACATCTGTCCATTTAATACTCACAATGCCCTGTTAGGTGAGTGGTATCCAGTCCATTCTACAGGTGAGAAAACTGAGATTCTGAAGCCTTACTCACAAAGGACAGAGCTCGGTTTATAATTCATGTTTGTCTGATGACACAACCCTGGCTCTTAGCCCTGTGCTACAAGTCCACTGGCTCTGGTAGGATGTGTATCACCTTGGTGAAGTCACTTCTCTAGACCTTGACTGTCCCTGCTAGGGGTTATGGAGTTGTAACTGAGCTCTGGCTCTGCATAACTCTTAGCTGGCAAGCAATGGGTTCCTTCAGGAGCAGAGGGCTGGTGGGGGGGAGTGTCAGGAGAACTCACTGAGGGCCGTACTTCTTCACATTCCTCATACCTCCAGGCTGCTTGGCGCCTGTATTCCACTGACACGAGCCGGGCCTACCTGACAGCCACCTGGTACTACTATGACAGTATCCTCCCATCCTTCAGGTAGGTCCTTCTGGGGGTGGGTGTGGGTGGGAGGCTGGCAGTGATGCCGCTTGAGCACAAGTGTATAGAGCTCAGCCCTGGAGAGTGGGAAGGGGGTGACAACTCCCAAGGGACAATGCTGGGTTGGCTCTGAAGTCCTACATAACTCAGAGCCTGGAGGGTCCTCTTTCCACTCTGTAGTACCTGGGGAAGAAGTGGATCCTGGACATGAGACATTGGTGCAGCTCTGCCCCATAGCTGAGCCCTGGCTCCTGGAGTGTTGATGATGTGAATGCTCTCCCCTAGGTGGCGCCACTCAGGACAGTGGCACAACCAGCTTGGCTCCTTCTTGAATTTGAACCAGGCAGAGCATTAGCCCTTAGCAGCCTGGTGTATTGCAGCTGTTCTGAGAGTATAGAATGGCAGGAACAAGTGTGCCAGGGTGCCCCATATGTGACAGTGTGCCCATGTTCCTGTGCCAGGCAGCAGCTTCAGCACCCAGAACTGGGTCTGCCCTACTGGCCCAGGCTGGGCTAAGGCTGCATGGGGCTGCTCCACAAGGAGGTTATTAATAGTGTCACCATGGTGCATGTGGCCAGATTCCTGGCCAAGCCCTGGGGCAGGAGCGAAGACCACAGAGCCGGCTCAGTCCCACGGGCAGGCAGCACAGAGTGCTGCTGGGCCAGGCTGCTGCGCTCAGCTCTTCTGTGTGCCTTTTCTGCCTCATTAGTTCTCCAAGAGCAGCTGTGGTGTGATCTCGCTCCCCTACATCTAGCCCCTCCTGCTCCTTCCCAGCTGGAGGACTTCCCAGGGGAAGAGGTGGGGGTGGGAAGGGGGGCTCCTGGCATCACCACCCCACCATCTCCCCACCTGGCAGGGCTAAGCTTCCATGTCAGAGACAGGGAAAGTGGCTGGATGGGAGGAAACCAGCTTTTCCAGAACAGCCCTCGGGGCTCCAGGCCAGGCAGTGGAGTGGGGGCAGGGCAGATTGTGAGTGGTTGATGTGGGGGAGGATGTCCTGTGTCCCTGGTGGGAAGTAGAGCCTGATCTGGGTGTCCTGGGCCTTCTGCTCTCTGGACCTCAGTTTTCTCATCCCTGCGATGGAAAGGCAGGCAGCAGATGAGAGCCATGCCAATAAGAAGTGGCCGAGGGAGTTAGGGAGCAACTATAGCCTCAGATCCTGGTTCTAGGAACCCAGCAGCAGGGGTGAACCCTAGAGAAGAGGGAAATTGGGCCAGCCACTCTTTAAAGTCTCCATCCCCTTTAAAATGCACAGAGTGGGAGGCTAAGGATATTAGGACTGCTACTGACCTTCTGCTGGGCATAGCTCCATGTCCCAGCAGTTGGCTTGATGAACAGTCAGCTGGTTCTCAGCTCTTCCTATCCAGTGTGGGTGCTCTTGAGTTGTGTCTGACCTGTACAACTGTATTTGCCATCCCTAAGGATGTCCCAGGAACTGAGTGTAGAAAGCGGGGAAAAGAACCACTTTCCCATCTACCGCCCTCCACCCCATTTGCCCTGGCCTGGGGTGTTTGTGAGCATCCCTAGAGAGGCAGGACATTTAAGGATCTGAGCTTAGGAGCTCAGTGTCCACTGGTGAGGAAGTGATGTCCCAGCCCTGCCTGCAGCTGACGGCGCCCTCTCCTGCAGAGAGCTGGCTCTCTTGTTTGAGCACGTGCAACGGGCCCGCAATGGGGGCCTACGGCCCCTGGAGGTGCGGCGGGCGCCAGTACCCGACGGAGCGCCCTCCCGCTACCCGCCCGTTGCCACCTGCCATCGGCCGGGCAGCGCCTCCTTCTGCCCTGGGGAAAGGTAGGGGCCCCCTGGGGCCGCCACCTCCTCTTGTTCTCTTCTTCTTCCGTTCTGTGTCTCATCCTCTCTCAGACTTGCCTCCAGCCACTGTGTGGGTGTCCGGGCCTGTTTGGGGGATTCCCATGCCTTGTCACAAGGCCTGGGTGGTTATCACTGGATGTCCAGACAGGTACATCTTCCCTGGAGAAACCAGGCTGGACTCACCTTTATGTCACCTGGTACTCTGAGGGTCCGAGCAGGAGAGATGTCCTCCTCATCCTTTCCTGTCACCTCCTCCATTCATGCCATTGTCCTCTTTCTTTCTCTGTTCCTACATCCCCCTCACTCCTCCATCCCTGCATCCTCCCATCCCTCCCGGGAAGCTGGAGAGAGGAGGAGGCCACTGGCCACAGGTGCTTACGGCTCAGGTAATCGTGGGCATCATCTGGGTGTAAGGGCAGGGAACCCCCTCCCCCGGCATGGTGCTCTGGGAGGGGCCTGACACTGCACTCACCACTCGGGAACCAGATGCCAGCTGAAAGACAGCTCTGTGACTTGGGACTACTGCGGGACCACTAATCCGGGCCTGCAACTCACACTTGTCTCATGCAATCCTTGTTCATAGCCTTGCTAACTACCTGGACGGGGCTCTGGGGAGTCACTTTTCTTCCCCATTGACCATCTGCCCTGACCATCTCTTTCTGCATGACCTGTCTCTCCTGGAGCTTTTACATCTTGAAAGAAGAACCAAGAAAGAACAGTGTTGCCCTCTGTAAACAGTGTTTGTAAACAGAAAATCCAGGCATATTTGGATAGAGGAAGCCCATCTAGTCACAGGATGGGGAACAGCAGCTGCTTCTCTAGAGGTATAGCTTTGAGGTCAAGGGTTCAGCCCCCCTTGTCCGTTCTTTGTCCTTTGCCCATCTCTTTGTTTTACCTCATCTTCACACGTCATCCCTAAGCCAGCCAGGTGTATGTCTGGGCCTTGAGCCTTAGGGGTATTTCTGACCCCAAGGCCCAGAACAAGGAATCAGGGAGGAGGTGAGCCCCTAGTGACCCATAGGAGGTGCAGTGGAATCTCACCGCTGCCACCTGATTCTGTGTGTCCTTGAGAAAATCCAGTCGCTCTCTTCTTGGCAGAATGTCAATGAGGATGAGGGCCTCTGGGTCCTCTGAATCTTGGGCCAAAGAGGGCCTGGCAATGGAGTGATAGAACTGTTTTGGTCTAGAGGTTGTGGGGAACAGTGTCCCTTCCCTGCTCTAAGTGAGGGTACTTTGGAGTGAAGGGCTGAACAAGGAGTGGATAGTGAAGGGAGCCTCTGCAGATCTAGAGCTGGAGATAGGGGAAGTTTGAGTGGCCAGGTCAGGCTAGGAGCTTCCTGGAGAAAGCCATGGTGCAGCCTCACCATCGCTGCCTAGAAGTCCTTGCTATCCCATTCCAGCCACATCACTGTTTATAGGCAGAAACTTACAAGTTTTCATATTGCAGAAACCTGCCCAGGACCTGAGCCTGGCTCTCCAGTTCACTTTCTTCTCACCCTGACTGAATGGGAAGGCACTGGAAATGGAGATTAGCCAGGAACCTGGCACCTGTACCACACTCTTGGCTTTTCTGGGCCCCTGAGCTTCCCAGGAACAGATGACAGCTGAGGGCTTTGACATCACTAACGCCCTGCTTATGTCCATTTGCCCTGGAGTATCTGTGTCTGGGGTCCATGATGATGGTGGTGGAGTGTCCCTTCTTCACAAGGACTCCAGGAAGCTGAGTTGTGCCTTCTGGATCAGTCAGCAGGTTCAGGCCCCTGGCCATATCCTTAATCTTGGCAGTCTGGGCCTTATGGGGTAGGTATTTCAGCCAAGATATCCAAATATACACAGACATACACAAACCTGGTTGGCTACATTCTCAGTAGCGCTTGGAGATAGAACCAAGCTGAGCATGTTGAGCCCTACTAGAAAGTAGAACTCCAAAGAGCAAGCCTTTCTGGGGGAATGGCATCCCCAGCACCAGCACCTCTCCTCTTGGGGTTCTTCAGTGAGTTTCTTGAAGCGTGATCTCCATACCCCTGCATCGGCATCCCATGAAACATGTGTTTCAGATGCATATTTCTGGCTCTTTTCCTGAAGAGTCAAACTCTGGAGAAGAGGCCCAGGATTCTGCATGTGCATCATGTTCCAGGAGGTCCTTATGCAGAGCTTGAGAACCACTGTCTTGAGGATGAGGCTGGAGGGTGACTTGTGTGGGGGCTCCTTTCCCACCAGCCACAAGAGACCAGCCCCATCCCGGCAGCTCCCTTGCTCTCCTTACCTGCCTTTTTGTCACTAACCTCTGTTCGTGTCTTGTTCTCAACTTTCCAGCCAGATGTTTAGTAATAAACGGAGTTTCTTTCGGATCCACGCCAGCTGGAGACCGAGGTACCCCCTTGTCTCCTCCTCCTGTTCCCTCTCCTCCTTGTCCCCCAGTTTGGGGGCTGGAGAGGGGAACAGGATGGGCCAAGAACAAGGTGCATGTGCCTGCCGCCTGCCATCTGCCTTGGGCCCCTGATGAGCCCTCTGCCTTCCTGGGGATGCCTCTGCCAATCTGGGGCATGGGCCAGTGTGCCAGAAGGGATACCTGCCAGAGCCTTGGGGATATGTCCTGGCTCTGCCGCAGACCCCTGTGTGACTTTGGCCAAACTGCTTTCCTTCTTTGGACCTATTTCCCTTCTGTGGGGTGGGCAGATTGAACTAGAGGCTCTCTGAAGGTCCTTCCCACTCTGATTTGTGCTGGGTCTTGGGTTTAGCTTCTGGTCTTCCCACTGCTCACCTGGGAGCCTTACAGGTGCCTGAAGGGTTAGGCCTGGCAACTCCTTTACCATCCCCAGAGTGCCTGCTCTTTTAGCTGCATCCCTACACGCAGTGGTACATGCCATGAGCCAGACGCTGCTCTGTGCCTTGGAGACACAGTGATGAATAAGATATGATTCCTGGAGAGTTTCAGAGTAATTGCAGTTCAATGCAATGAGGGCCACAAAAGTAGAGGGTCTGTGGAGCCTGGGTTGGGCACTTCAAGGTAAGGTAACTCTCAAGAGGGTAGCAGTTAGAGGACAAGGGAGCCACATGGACCAGGCAGGGAGGCTGCAGAGTAGGGTAGAGGAGCCCATGCCCCCCTTGGCCAGATTTGAGAGTTGGATGTCAGAGCTGAGGGTGGGAGTGGGAATGGGTCAGAACTCAGGAGCCAGTGTGGGCTTATCTTGCTGGCACTGCTGGGTAGCCTGGGTTCACACAGCTTGGGTTTCCCAGAGGTGCCTCTGAGCTTTGTGGTAGCAGGTGAGGGACAGAGCTCCTGGCTGGCTGTGTGTGTTTCTGCCAAGAGCCAGTCTTTCCTAGCAACATGGATTCTAGATCACAATCTATCCATTAACCATCAGCACATGTCCTTGGGAAAATCATGTAATTTCTCTGTCATGCCTCGGTTTCCTCTGAAATGAAGATGGTGATAGAATCTGCTCCCACTAACAAGGCCATTCCTGGATCCTGTGAATGGCCTCATTTGATTTGGTGCACTTAGCAGTTAAGATATTACTTTAAAAATGGAAATTCACTGAAGGGTTAGGCCGAGGCCATCTGGGTCAGGCCTGCCTTTCTGCAGGATTGTCTGGATTGTGTAGGAGAAACTACAGGGTAGGGATGGGACACTGTGGGGGCAAGAAAGCCAGCAGAGAGGCTATCTCCATGGTCCCTGAAGGAGCCATGAGAGGCATCACAGGAGGCTTCCTGGCCCCCTGTGAGCCTGGCCATGGGGGCCAGATGTGTCCTAAAGAAGTTCCTGGAGGACATGAGGGCAAGGGACTGGGTCCAGCAGGGCAGCCAGAGGGCATCCTGCCCCAGAGCTCGCCTTATCAGGAACAGCCATAGGCAAGCTTAGCCCATGCTTCTCCCAGGCACTGACACACCCGCTGACCACAACTGCTCAGCTTTAGCACCACTGCCACCTTGAATTGCACCATCCTCTTTGTTAGGGGGCTAGCACATGTGTTGTAGGATGCTTGGCATTGCTTCTAGCCTCCACCCACTAGATGCCATGAGTGCCCCACAGCGTGGCAACCCAAAATGTCTCCACACTTTGCCAGATGTCTGCTGGTGAGCCAGATCACCTCTCTGAGAATCACTGCCCTAGTTCCTACCATGAGCACTTGCCCTCAAAAAAGAACACAGTATCTACATCTGAGAAACTGGCACAGGCCTTGTGCCATTCCGCAAGAGGTCTGCAACCTCACACAGTTGTTTCTCCTCTTTTCTTATCCATACAATAAGGGAGTATGGATTACTGCCCACCCCCAAAGTGGTAGAGAGGATTAGCGACTGGCAGGCAGAGGCCTTGTGTGCTCCAGAAGCCTGGGAAGGGAAAGAGCTCTTTGGTGCCCACAGTGCCAGGTTTCTTTCCATTTTCTTTGAGCTTTCAGGCTCCAGAGAGGCTGACATGAGCCATTTTCTGGGTCCTGCCCAAGGAGCTGGAATCCAGGGCTGCTCTTTGGAAAACAGTGTCTTCTTGCACTAAAGAGGAACCCAGGGCCTCTGACAGGCTGGAAAGTTACAGAAGCCCACAAGCCGAGTCAGGAGCTCCCTCCACCATCACAGAATCAGAGCTGGAAAGGCACCTCTCGAGGCCTCTAGCGCAAGCCTCAGACCCCTTCCTCTGAAAGTCCTGCGCACTCAGTCTTGTTTGCACACTTCTCAAGACAGGGAGGTCCCCCTTCCTCCAGAATGCCTTGGGAGCCAGACAAGCTGTGTGAAGCAATGGGGCCTTCTAGGCCCTTGGCTGATGCGTTAGTGCCTCCTAGCCTCCTTTCTTCCTCTCCCCCTTTGAGGAATGGAAGACAGGGGCTGCACGGACCTGGGGTTGGGGGATGCTTGCCAGCATGAGGAGAGCCCGCAGGAATGGTTCTGCAGAGGCAAGTTTGGGAGAGCAGTGCTCAAACTTCATTGGAATCTTTGGGATGTGCCAAGGGGATCCTGGGCCAATGGAGAGCATGCTGGATTGTGAGAGCAATCCCTGTCCTTCCCTTCTGGTATTCTCAGGACCCTAATCCTTGACTTGAAACCTCAGTCCTGTAGGCAGAAGCCCCACTCACCTCTAAGGATGGCCCTGCATCCTGGCCACCTTCCTGAAGGTGCCCCTGGTTTCGAGATCTCCCTAACCTCAGCACACTGCCCTACCTTTTATTTCTTGCCCTGGAATGGAGAACCCCCCTTCCCATCCAATGCTGAAACCAGAACCTGTCCTCTGCTTAACCCTTGATCTGAAAGTCTGAGAGTAGGTGATACAGCTCCTCCCTCAACCCCTGTCCACCTCAGGCCTCTTTGTAAGACTGGCTTGCCTGAGCTGGGGCTGTAGAGCCTGTCTGCAGTGGCACACTAGCAGAGGAGGCCACGGCAGTGCCACAGCGTGGGGTGGGCGTTTGCGCAGGTCCTTCCTAGAGAGCAACAGTGTGGTCCTTGAACCTCTTGGACACAGAGTTTCGCTACCCAGTATTGTTTAGCCAGGACCTGTCTGGGAACCTGGGGTCAACCCAACCTGTCTTCCTCCAATTTGGGAGATGTAGTGGGGATGTGGGTGCAAGAAGAGAGTTCAGAACCTGTCCCGACATGCATGTCATGCGCAAACAGGTGTGCAGGCTGAACTGGGGGCTCAGCAAGCAGTGTAGTGAGTTTGTCTTTGAGGGCGATCCAAGACCCTATGGGTCCACGTGAGCAGAACTCAGAGGGAACCACAGATCAGGTTATCAAATAGTCCCTCACGGGAAGCTTGGGCACTGGGTGTGGGGCCAGCAACTGGACCCACAGGGCCTAGGCCCTCAGCAGGCCTTCACATTGCCTGCCTCCCTTGGAACTGTCACATGGAAGTCTGTGTAAAGGGGATCTTATTTTGCAGTGCATTTACATAATCCCACTAGTTCCTAAATCTCTGACCTGCAAGTTTGGAGTCAGAAAGCTCCAGCAGTGGGGAGTTGGAGGAACATATCAATTGGCATAGGTGCACACCTACCATATAGATACACACTGGTACCTCTTTACCCAGTCTCATGCACACACACACACACACACACACACACACACACACCCCTCATCAAAAGCCCCTGTGCATGTAGGACTGGAGGCCTGGTTCAGTGTATACAGCCAGGTGAGCTTTGTCCCTCACCCTGCTGTCTGTGCCCAGAGGGGCCATGACCTCTGCCCTTTCCCACACTACCCACCTAGGCCAGACCCAAATCCTCCATCCTGCTGTCTGTTTCCGACTTCCTTTCTGGGTTTCTCTCACTCCTTCTACTCTAACATCTGTCTCCTGTGTACCCGTATCTGTCTGGGCACTGTTGGGTGGGAGGCAGGGCTGGGGTGGGGATGTGCTCCACCTGACCCAGCTTCCTGTAGGAATTATCCCCCTCTCCCTACCAAACCATTTTCCCATCCCATGAAGACTCTGCTTGGCTTGGAGTCAAGACCCAGTAGTCACCCCCAGACCTAGGTCAGCTTTGCCCCTATTCAGCCCCTGGCCCAGCACTGGCTAACTTGTTCTCTTCCCAACCTGTCCTGCCCTGCCAGCAGCCGGATGGGCATCAAAGACCGCATCCGCATGGGCAGCTCCCAGCGGCGGACAGGTCCTTCTAAGCAGCACCTGGCCCCTCCACCGATGCCCACCTCCCCAAGCAATGAGCAGGTGGGTGAGGCCACCAGCCCCACCAAAGTACAGAAGAGCTGGAGCTTCAATGACCGCACACGCTTTCGAGCCTCTCTGAGACTCAAACCTCGCACCTCTGCTGAAGGTGAGCCTCAGGAGGTCTGCAGCCCAGGGTGCAGCAGCTTTGCACCAGGCTAGACCAGATGTACCCTAAAGCAGCGGGCTGCAGACTGTTTACCCTGCCTGGCTTCAGGGGCACATGAGTCTGTGGTACACTGGAGTCCTGCCCTAGGCAGGGATGTGAAGGCAGCAGCCAGGCAGGCAGCAGCTTGGTCTGCCTTGTGCCCCAGGAAGGTTCTGGGCCCTTACTGGGTAGAACTCTGTCATCCTAGTGGGAGTGGAAGTGGACCCTTCTGCTGCTACCACTCCAGTAATGTGGGCCATTCTTGTCTTTCCAGAGGGCCCCTCAGAAGAAGGACTGGAAGAGAAGAGCTACCAGTGTGAGCTCACAGTGGATGATGTTATGCCTGCTGTGAAGACAGTCATCCGCTCTGTCAGGTGAGACTGAAGCAAGCACACCCTCCCATCTGCCACCTACTGCTGCTCCCCATCTGGGCCTGCCCTCGTGGTCAGGCCTGGCCTTGCTCCCAGTGTGCCAGCTGCTGCCCGCCTGGAGAGTGCCTTGGGTGGGAAGGTGGCATATGGCTTCTAGCAGGATTTGCTTCCATGCTCCTGTCCAGAGGGTTAGCACCAGTGGCCCATGGACATGGTTCCCCTCCTGGTCCCTTTTCTCATACCCAGAATCCCTCCCCTCCCCCATCACTTCTGCTCGCTCCTTTCCTCTTCTTCCCTTTCTCTGTCTTCCACTCAGTGTCAGGTACATCTGCTGCTCCACCACCTACCCCTCCTCCTCCTTCCTCTTTGTCTTCCTCCAGGTATGTGGATCCCTACCTGCCCTCCTGAGGTCTCTGTTCCACCTCTCTTCCCTTGCACCTGTGTCTCAGTCTCAGTCTCCTTTTGCTTCTGTATCTAAAACTCTTTCCCTGGTGTCTTAGCTCCATCTTTGTGTTTACATCACAACTTTCCCTAGAGCAGTGCTTTTCAAAAGAGATGGTTTGAAATCAGCTTAGTGAAATCAAGTTAGTGGAGAAGAGTCAGCATTTAAAACCAACCAAACAGAAAATATGGAAATGCATCTCTCATATTTAGGGTAAATAGTGTTTATGAAGCTTTTATTTTTGCTCTCTCTATATGTGTATGTATATATGCTGGTTTTCAACACAAAGTGTATTTTTTATGGTAGGTTTTGATCAGAAAAGCTGTATAGGCTACCTCCATGCTTCATTTAAGGAGGAATCAGTCTCCTGAGTCCTGTAGCCTTGGCCCAGTGCTGGACTCTGCCCCCAGCTCCTCAGCAGGGAACTCTAGCCCTGCTGCCCATTTCCAGCTTGCAGTTCTACCTCCACAGGGCCCTGGACCCCAGGCCTTCCGGGCTCACTCCCCTCCTTATGGGCTCACCTCCCTCCTGCCAGACCCATGAGCCTCTTCCTTTTGAGATCATTCATCTGGATCGTTTCTCCAGAGTCTGTGCCTCTTCTCATCCCCTTTCCAAATGCCTTGTCTCTCCCCTCCTGCAACCGCCACCTGGAACAAGGTGCCGGAGCTATGACGGGTGTGCTGTCCTTGCCTCTCCACAGACCCCCACACCTGGCATGTACCAGGCCTGCCACTCCTCCATCCAGGTCCCATCCATACTGTGGCACCCCTGTCCACGTGTCCCTGCAGCCATGGGAATCACTCTGGTCCCCGGAGCCTTTCAGCCCCACCTCCTGAGTTGCTCCCAGCTGTCTCAGGCCTCTACCGAATTGCACCCCTCCAGCTCAGGCCTGTCCCCTGCGGCTAATCTGACTGTGACCCTGGCCCTCCAGAGCATTCTCTACACAAACTGGCACAGAGGTCCTGCTGCAGCAGAAGGAACGACACTCCTTCAGCCCAGTGCCCATGCTGTGCTGGAGATTCCAGGCTCTTCCTACCTTCTCCTTATGGCCCATCTCTGTGTTCTACTGACCCTGCCTCCATTGGCCCCTTTCCATCATGTCCCTACCTCTGAGGACTGAATCTCACTCACACCCCTCCAGGCCTGCCTTCCTCTCCCTCTTCTTGTTCTGGGTTTGAGAAATGGCACTCTCGAGACTTGTCCCTCCCAGGCATGGTGATGCACGCCTGTAATCACACTTGGGAAGCTGAGGCAGAAGGATCACTGCAAGTTCGAGGCCAGCCTGGGCTGTATATGAAACCCTGTCTCAAAACCCTTATCCCTGATCTCTCCATCAGGCACCTTTCCTTCTCATGACCCCAGACTTTCTCCATTCTTTGAACCTGGACCATGTTAACCAATAATTGCCTGTGTCTTTGTGGTCTCCCACCCCAGAAGATGCCAGGGATTGGCTCTGACTCCTCTTGGGTGCTCTGGGTCCAGCACAGTGATGCCAAGTATTGATGGAGAGAATACAGTATTTCTTCCAAGCTGTTATCAGCAGCTGGTATTACAGAAGCCCCATGTCCTACCCAGCTGACACACATCAGGTCCAGTCTCTGCCCTCCGGGCAAATACAACTGCAGATACACAAAGAAAAACACAAACCAACCTATGGGAGTGCAGGGAAAGGGAAGCACCATAGATGGGTAGAGAGACTAGAGGACTCAGCAGAGGTTATTTTTGGTGACCTGAGCAGGTTCCCTGATGCTGGACAAGGCAGGTAGCAGAGGGAGGGAAAGGGGGCTGGGGAAAATGATCTCCTTTGGCAACTGGACCATCTCTGTGACCCCTTCCCCCAACAGGATTCTGAAGTTCTTGGTGGCCAAAAGGAAATTCAAGGAGATGCTGCGACCGTACGATGTGAAGGACGTCATTGAGCAGTACTCTGCAGGGCACCTGGACATGCTGGGCCGGATTAAGAGCCTGCAGGCTAGGTGGGTTCACGCCCAGACCCTCGACCCTGTCACTATGTCTGATGTCTGGAGCTGGGTCACCAGCACCAGGATGGAGTTGCGCATGCGCCCCCTAGGGGCCACTGCTGCAATAGGAGTTTCTGCCCAAACAAGGTCTCCAGGGTTGCAGGGTGAGGCTGATGCCGGACCCTGCGCCTGTCTTAAGGCAGAAGGAAAACTTAACCACACAAATCTGCAAGCCTCGAGGCTTTCCTTCAAATGACCATTTCCTGATCCTAAAATAATTATCCTAGGGCTGGGGAGATAGTGCAGTGGCACAGTGCCTGCCTGGCAAGTGCAAGGTCCAGAGTTCAATTCCTGGTGAAATAAATAAATAAATAAATAAATAAATAAATAAATAAATAAATGACGTGCTCAGGCTAAAGTCTCCAAACTCTGAAAGTCTCTTGAAGAATAAGATCATTGTCCTAAATGAATCCCGACCTCCCATCTCCCAGTGGGACAGGCAAATTGACTGCTCACTTTTTGCATCTGGAATCTCGCATCTTTTCTCTAGACCAAGCTTTAAAGGAAGAATCCTTATGCCAAGATCAAGTTGCCTACACATTGCCCTCTGGCCTGTCTTTTTCTTGCCCATTCATTCATTCTTCCAAGAAATAGCCATTAGGCGTTTAGGACTTGCCAGACAGTGGGGATGGAGAAGAGAACAACTCTGTGTACAGCTGTCATTCTCGTGGAAGGAGAGCAGGTGATGACACCAGACTGCATCAGATGATCACAGGTGCTAAGGAGCAAACAGGGATTCAAGTGTTAGGGTTTGCAATTTAAGTACATGAGGAAGCGACATTTGAGAACAAAATGGAAGGAAGTGAGACAACTAGATTTGTTGCTGTTGAAGCAAAGCATTTCCAGAGGGAATAGCAAGTTGAAAGGACTTGAGATGGGCCAGTGGCTGGAGAGCTGTGTGAGAACAGCAGCAAGCCCAGAGTGGTTCAACTGGAGCCAGAGAGGTAGGGAATGAGCAGAGAGGGCTAAAAGCACCGTGGAAGGCCCTGTGGGTCACTGAAAATACGTTGACATCCATCCAGGGTGAGCTGTGAGCAATGGAGGGCTTTGTGCAAATGACTGATAACTTCTTCTTTTTTTTTTTTTTTTTTTTT